CCCAAGAAAACGAAATGAATATCACCTCTTGAATGTGCTGCTTTCACATGCTGTGCATGCTTTGCATTTGGGACAGAATACGATATACAAAGAATGAATAGGTAAAATAAATATGAACGATGACGCAACACCGGCTGATGACACAAAAAAGATTGACTGAATAATCTAAAGAAACAGACGGAACTTTCTTTCCCTTTTAATAGAATTAGGTAAACTGGCAAAAATGCCTGGCCGTGTACAGTATAATGATATGTGCACTACTGCTTTGTATAAACCTATTTTTTTTCTCCGTTCCAATAAATTGGCGATTTCGGGAAACTTGTGCAACTTAGTAAATCTACCGTTTTGTCCTTAAAAGCATTGATTGGGTGTTATATTTTTTCTTAGTAAATGGGGGGAAATATGACGAAAAATGTAAACAATATGCTGGTCAATGCAATTTTAATAAGTGATTATTGGTCCATGCTGTACCTCAAAACAGTATAATGAAACTACGTGATCATTCCTCTTATATATCAGTCACAATTTTAGCCACGAAATCCATGTGCATTTAATAGGTCTTACGTCTAATTAAATGCTCAAACTGGGACGGATCGATAGATACCAAGAAAATGTATATAAGTATTGTCGGTATATCATGAACTTTACAAAATACTTCATGTGCTTTCGACATTAAAACGGACTTGACACTAAAATGTAATATCATTATTTACAATAATTAGTTTATACATTTACATTTTTTGTTTAATTAAAATACTTCTTTACATCGTGTTAACTGAAACATCCAAGGTATATGCATGTAATATACAAGATGGGTTCGCCAAAAGAAATCGCGTAGTCTTCCCCGCTAAACTAATACTGCTAAATTACCGATTAGCACCACTTCGGTCCGGGGAAGTATTAACATGAAATACGCAAATCTAAGGTCTGTTGGCGACAATATCAGTACGATACATACATAATTATTGATTCGGTACCCTTTTAATCCATTCATCAACTAATTATTTTTGTTATAAAGTACCAGTGCTAAAAAAATAAAAGCATATAGTTACATGCATGACCAGTGCGTCAAATGCATCCATAGAGGAAGTGCATTTGTTATTATGAACGGACGCAATTTTCATCATCTGCTAATATCGTCACGTGAAAACCATCAAGAGTCTCAAAATGTTTTTGTGTAAAATCAGAACCTGGAAATCAAATTTGAAAATTGATTGCCGATTTTTTTTTTTTTTTTTGCATTTTCTTTTTTCATATACGGCTTAGCAAATTTTAACCGGAGAACACAATATTCCCGAATGCGCCTTTTCATAAAGTGAAAAAATAAAAATTCACAAAACAGCTTCAATTTCATAGCCGTGCACGTATTTTTGTTTTGTACCATTTATTATTTCTGGTTCTGGCAAAGTACCATAAAAGGCTATCAAGCGCAGGTCTAGAGCAGTAGCAGCAGTCTTGGGTGGTGGCTAAGAGGGTTGTTTATTTGTTTGTTTTCTTCGTTTCATAAAGGCCTACCAAAAGGAACAAGAATGACACACTATCCAAGTGAAATGACGCGCAGTGAAAAGGCCTGCCCACACAGTCTCGTAGCCTGCTCATTTAAGGCCGTCGGCAATCATAAACTAGTAGGACTCTTGAGGCACCTTCGGACAATTCGAGAGAAAATAAAGGCCGAGAGAGCGTCAAGTTGTCAACACTGGTTCCCTTCAACCAGCCCTCCCAATCCAGCCGACGAAATTCTACACTTCCTGTTACAAGTTATGTCCATTTCCTCCCGCTAATGTTCACTGTTCAGCCCGGCTCGAGAACGGTCCCAATGACTCCGTACCATAATGCTGTGTGTCCTGCACTTTTGACCGAGTAGGCCTCAGCGAAACAATTGCAACACTCATCCAGAAAAAGACTAAGCAGTAACATGTTTTATTGCGGAAAGTATAAATTCAAAAACAAACACTGGTAACGCGGAGAGATACAAATTCAATATCCTTTGTCTACTTTCCTGTTTCAGAAACTTCCAAGAAATGTATGCTTGAGTATCCAAGCACATGATGTTCGGTTGGTTAAGAAATGTCTGAAATGGCCGAACAACTGATTTGGATGCTTTATCAAATCACTATAAGACTTTAAGAATGCTGAAAATAATGCAAATTAAAATATATTTAATTCGAAATTCTATGGCATGCACGTATGAACCTGCTTCCTTCGGCATACCGCTCTGGCTCTCAGCTTCAGCCGGTTTTCCCTGATGCTTGTTTCAACCGAAATATGGATCTCATACAATTCCACTTTGTTGTTCATTATTCTGGTAATTTCATATAGAAACAGATGATTTTAGGGCTGGGTAGATGTGCCCACTCTGCCCCGAGTTTTCATTGTCCATGGTATATTCGATACCTTTGACGGAGCATGGAAGAAAGAACATGGACGGAGGAAAGGCAAAAGAAAGCAGAGCATTTCCCAAATGTTAATTTTCCAGAATTTCCATTTTTTTTATCGGTCCGACAGCGATGAGCCATAAGCAAAGCAGGCCACGCATTGGCCTTGCCACGGACCGCCACTTGTCAGCCTACTCCATAATTAGACGCCGTAATTCCAACTCCCCCCCCCCCCCCCCCCCCCTCCTTGGCTGTCACTCCTGCCCAGACTCACCCGGGACACTCACACGCCCTGACGGCACGCTGGAAATCCCCCTTAAGCCGGCGGTAAGCCCCCGGATTATCCTGGCCCGCTCCGATGGTGCCCGGGGGCCTTGTGAAACTCCCCGGGATTTTTTTTTATACTTCACCCCCTCCTCCTCCGTCTATCTTATGGTCTTTATAACCAAGTTGACTGGGTTCTTCCTTCCGGCTCCAGGTCAGTCCAACCCCCAGTGAGCCTCCCCCAACCGTACGCTGCTGATAACGAACTTCTCGATCCGAAGTCACACAACGCTAATATTAGTGAAATGTGATGATGTGCAAAAGTAAACTTTGCGGCAGGAAATTTTTTTTTGAGGAGAGGCGGAGGAGGAGGCCGGGTGAAACCCACTTTTCAAGATAGGAGGTCAGATGCGCGTGTTGGCCCCCACACCCTAAGGTTTCAACATGTCTGCGGAATGCCAAGGTTAATTGATGACGCAACTTATCTCAAGTTCATCAGAGTGACGAGCGCGTGTAATGAATGATTTGACACTGCATGACGGAGACTGGCCGAGTGGGCGTGGCACTCGAGAAAAAAAAGTGCAAGACGGTCTGGGGAGGCAGGTTCATTCTGTGCTGATTTTGTATTTTGTTTTCAATAAATATGACTGATTATTGAAACTTTCTTTATTTGTCTACTGGAGGTAATTGTATAATGTCATTTCTGAAAGCCCAAATAAAACACAAACCAGTAGGTCTTAAATGACAGCACGCTCTCTTATTTCCAAAAGAATAAACCTAGTGACCATGCAGGTTATTTTGAATGAAAACAAATCTTAGGACAGATTTAGAAAAAAAAATGAAAAAATTGCTTCAGTCGGAACTAGATTGAAAACTCGATCTAATCGATTGAATAAAATCTCCCTCTAAATCGTCTGATCCAAAGTTTCAGAGGGAGTGAATATTCGTGACAGAGAGAGTACTAAAGTTTGAAAATATTTCTGAAAAGCGGAAATAGATACAAATTAGTTTATAAATGGCCACATGAATGAATGGCTAATTGTGGTACTTAATAGTGATGGACAAAGAAGAAGATGGTCAACAACGCAAATTCCATTACATACAGCACATGTAAAACTAGAACTCTAATAAAAGCTCTCGCAGTCTAACCACTTTACAAAATGTGCAAACTAAGGTAATGATTTGTTCGTTAGCACAGGCAAGGTCTAGGAACACGGAGTAAAATCCATACCATCACTTCCATCGATGAGGCCCCTATCAATGGCGAAAGCATTGTGCTAGCTGTTGTTCATAATCCGTCATGGGGCAGTAACTTTGCACAATAGCCGACACAATGCTTTCGCCATTGATGGGGGCCTCGTGACGTGAGTGTACAGTGGTCACGTGCCCGGATCCATCTATATAGGAAGCGTATAGTGGTTGATTATTAATGCAACAAAGCATGACATGCAGTTTTGTAAGAATTCTCCCAAATACAGATACATTCACACTGGACAACACAGTCTTATTAACGTTTTAAGTAACATACGAATACTGCCTGAAATTTCTAGACAATGAAACAGTACAAGTATTGTTTTCCTTTTTTTTTTTAAATTCTATACAGTGAACAATCAAACAATGTTTTGTACAAGTATTTTTATACTGAATGTACAGCAGTAATGATTTATTCACAAAATGGCGCGAAGAATCACTAAAGACATTATTTGGCTGCGAAACCATGTTACAATGCTGTCTTCGTAACAGCAATGTTGTTCCCATATGCAATGGTTCCACCGTGCTTAAAAATCATGCAACTGATCGTATACACTCAGCACCATGCACCAATTTGTCGCGGCAGTTACTGGCCTACGCCTATGTATTCATTTGAGCAATCTTCAAGAACGACATTGAAGAGAGTGTATCACTAGGGCACACCTGAAAAACTGAAATGCCTCGTGGACTACTTTCTAATGTGCTTTGTTTTTCCTTTCTCTGTTTCGAAAATGAAACTGGAAACAATTACTTGAACATCAGACGAATTATTCGGTGGCGCCGCTCTGCATGAATATTATTGGTCACAGCATCTCGTGGGAAGCAGTGTTGCAGTGGAGTCCATCACAAGTCCGCTCACAAGTCTGTCATGAGTCCAGAGAAAGTAACAGCGGATGAACAACAAAGGAATGGCTTGTCTTTGTCACAGCTCATTTGTAAAGCTTGCAACTCAACTAAGGATTTGATGGCTTGTGATGGACTTTAAGAGGTCTATCGACAACTTGTGATTGACTTTTGAGGACTATCGAGGACTTGTGATGGACGTGACCACAGCACTGATTGAAAGTCACTGTGAAAAGTCACTGAATACCTGGAGTTATTTTGGCACCGTTTTTTTTATCTTTGCGCCTCATGGGTTGATAGCAAATATCTATCCGTCGAGGCTATTTCTTCATCAATGGTCCATAGCTTCACGGTCATATCCCCACGGCTCACGCCATAGCTCCGACCATAGATCCAGTAGAGGATGACATGGGCAGACTACAGGGCACCGGAACGTGAGTCGGCCCCGTCTGGTACAGAGAATTGCACAACGAGGACGGACTGTACGCCATGGAGTGAGGCGCCACGTGCGAGTGGTGATGCGGGTGGTGCAGGGACGTGGTGGTGGGCCCGGCCATGGTGTAGTCCGACATGCCCCCGTGGTAGTGGGCGTGGGAGTGGGCCAGGTTCTGGTGCTGCTCGGCGAACATGGGGAACTTGGGGTAGCCGTCGTCCATGGGCTTCATGGACTCCATGATCAGTTTGCCCTTGTTCTTCTTGGACTTGGTGGAGAGCTTGCGGTTCCGAGTCTGGATGCCGTCTTTCTTCATCGTCAGTGGCCGGTTGACCTGGGAAAATATAATCAAGAGAAGGCGTCCTTGATCAGTCACATTTCAAAGGTGTACAGGAATTCATGTGGGTCAAAACGTTTAAAGGTTTTTTGCTTGATTCACCTAAGAAACTAAGATCTAATAAACTGATTAATGTTCTCCCATCTGCTTAGAACCACAAAGCCCACACTGGGTATTAGGCCCATGTAAGATGTAGTCAGGCACCTCAGTAGCCAGTGCACTGTATGCAGCTGGCTGTTGCAAAACTCGGCAGGAGTTCATAACATGAATACAACAGCATAATGGAGGTCGACATGGGTTTCATGGGCCCTTTGCAGTGTCGGTTAGAGAAAGAGACTGTGCTAACAAGATTTAGTTGATTAATTGGATTCTAGCCTTTCAACCAACTTATTCACGACGCGATCGATTTTCTCTCTTTCTCTTGCAAGTGTAGCCTCGATTTCGTTCCAAATTTGGACCTTGGGGACTTCTCCCCCCCCCCCCCCCAAAAAAAATGAGAATAAGGCGACGTCCGGATCACTTGTCTGTCTCGGTCTTTGACTACTTAAACTCCTTGGGGAAAAGCTGACAATGTACGAAGCCATCAAAGACAGGTACATGTAGCTCTGGTGACCTATTTCGGACTCGGCCTTAGGTCACCGTGCACGAAATTAAAACCACGATTAAAGGGGTGTGCCCGCCTTCCCCGAATTATGAACTTATGAAGTGTGTTTACTACTTTCTGGAGCATGGATTCTCCAGAGTACGTGACTGGGTGTACAGGGGGCTATTCTTAGTTGGTCCCAGGACGACTGTCAATCAAACACTAAACTGACATGTACCTATCTTTCAGTCACTGTTCGTATATGGTTGTGGATACTCTTACATTGTGCCTGTCAGTAAGTCTGGCTGTCTGTGAACCTTGGTTGTGTATGTCATCATCTTGGCGTTTTTGTTGTTGTTGGAAGGAGAGGGACTGTGATTGCTTTTTAGATCTCGACGAAGGGTATCTATTGACCCTTATGCCAGCTAATTATTTAGCTTTTCTTTACGACGATATTGATTTCTTCTCCGTGGTAACTTTTGTTCGCGATATCGTAAAATGTACATACAGTCGCCGTGTCGCAACTATGATTGTTGCATTGTCTTGATCTTGAAACATTCTTTTGTAAAGGAGATTTCGTAACTGTGATGTTCCTTCAGAGCCACCATAAAGCACATGGAAGAAATCATGTCTACAGAATTGTCGGTTTCTCTGTGTGTGTTGTACTTTGTTTGCCAAACTAAAATTAATGCATTTAATTACATGCTTGTCTTTAAACGACTGTCACTCCACACCCTACCGCTTTTCGTCGTCGTCTGTTCGTTTGTTCTGTTTCTCTTGGAAGTCTATTTTACACAACTGTAGCATCAGCAGCGAAATGCTTAGTAAAGACAGCATAAAAACACCCGGTATATAGCATCAGCGTGCATACTACCTGCGCACAAAGCAACGGTAATGCACAATCACTTCCACAAAAAAAAGGACCTCGTGAAGTAGTCTCCAAGATTTTAAGCATAAGCGACATTATCGATGCTAGAATCTGGTTTGATCGGACGGGCCCAGGACCCGTCACTTCTCTCTGTCTGGTCCTGCGAGGGGAAGTATTTTGGCAGCGGCCCGCCCAAATTAGCTGCCGGTTCGAATTAAGGTCTGAGTGAATTTTCTTCAAATGGTCTCTCTCTTTCTCGTTTTCTCAGATTTTGAGGAGGAGGCAATTTTTGATCTGCTCTGAATTAAATAAGACGAATATTAGGCCTGATCGATCTTGGAAAATTGATTGGAACTGATTTGCCCTACATTTCAAAACAAGTGAGGCAGTGACTGAACAAAATTATTCAGTACGAGCTTTTAGTGATTATCTTTACTTTAAATATATAGACAAAGGCATATTGCACTCCTGCTCTTGGGTAAACAGTTTTGAACACTTTTGTTTTCTGCTTGCTCAAAAGGTATCTGCAAGATTGCGCTCAGATGCTATTAAATCACAAGTATCGTGGGAGAAACTACGTGAACTGTTGCGATTTGACGGGGTCTACCCGATGTTGCCCAATACCTATGTTCCCCAAAATCCTTAGGGTTATATGGTTTAGGGTTTGGGTTGGGGAACATTAGGTATTGGGAAACATAGGTATGCACCAGATTTGACATTCGGTGTATTTTATGACGTCATACCGCGGTCGACGTATACTTTATGTGCAAAACCTCCAGTAACAAGCATACAAGTCAAGTATAAGTCAGATTTCTCTGTGCTATTTGTGGAACTTCCCTGAGGCCATTAGCGCGACCGTGATGTTCTCTGTAATTAAGAGCACCTTTGTTTACTTAACCAACTACCTGCGCGTTAGAAATATCAAAACTTCCAGTCCTTCGCCAGTCATAGCTTATTACGCCGTCCCTCTGTCAACGTCAGAGTTCTCGTTGGGTTTTTAGTACAGCGGCAAGGAGGGAGATTTTTTGTTCAGATTACATCTCACAGAGTTATTACCGACAAATTTCCAACTTTGTGATGCGGGTTTCATAATCGTAAACAGATTAGAGCGCATACGTTCGTCATTAGCGTGTGTACATTGGCTCGACAGGGCTGTCGGCTGCAATTGCCGCGGACGGCAGTTGAGTGACTCTTTAGGGACTTTTGATGCATGTCACTCCAGTGGTCAGGCCGAGATGTCACTAGTATTTTCCCCCAGCTTTCCGCCTTGTGGCCGGGGTTCAAATCCCGCCCAGGTGGCAAGGAAACACGCCATGCGATTAGAATCCCCCGTGCTGATCATCATAGAAGGGAACTTAACAATTCTCTAGCGGTGAAAAGGCGCAAGATCCGTACAAACATAACGTACTGTGGCTTCCGCTATAGCCATTAATCATGAGGAATGTAAATGGCGCATGGGAACCAATAAAATAGTCATCTGTATAGAAACTTCCCTGGTCCCCACCGCCCTATCAAAGGACGCTAGTGACGTCGGGTATTATATGAACGTTCATTGCCTGGATTGGCTTTAACCGGAAATCCGGGGGGGGGGGGGGGGTGGGGTGGGGCTGGTGGTCAAGACCGTAGTGCGCACATAATGTATAGGACATTTAACTTTTTCCTGGGGGGGGGGGGGGTGTGTAATCAGCTACAACATGGTTGAGCACCTTGCATGAACGACGCTGATGGAAATTCCCCCCCCCCCCGAAAAAAAAATCAGAAATCTAATAGAAACAATCATTAATTTGAGTTCACTTTGAATTCACTTATCTCTTGGCTATTTTATTGAATATGGGTCAAAACCATAAAGCATAAAAACAGCAATTTTCTGCTTATATGTTAATGCTTAATCACAGTCATGCATACAATTAACCATTTACTCACAAGGGATAACTGATCATGACTATGTTTCCTTTGCCTTACATCCTAACTATTTGAACGTAAACGTAAAGAAATGATAATGAAATATGATTGAAGTAATTTTTCATTCAGTGCACACTTCAATATCAATATCCTGCCACCAAACCCCAGCGTGTGACTCATGCTATATCAGAAACATGGAAACAAACAAATTAAAAACGACAGGTAGAAATAAACACCGCATGTTGAAACAAGTGCGAGTACACAATAAGCTCCGGCCGCCTTTCATGAAACTTTAAAGGGAATATACATCATTTGCTTTTGCTGTAATTTTCAGAAATGGATGGAATTGGGGGGTTGGAAATATAAAGCAAATATAGTTACACTGACTTTTTGGAGGTTTTGGGTTCGAAAATGCTATAAACACCAAGATAAACGATCATTTTCCTGTAGTCTGGTTCCCTGACTCCATATAAGAAGAAACAGAGCAGTTTACATACATTGGGGAATTGTAAGGTCAGGGAACCAGTCTAGCTGGCTCGTACCCGTTCATAGGTTTGTAATCGATTGCAAACAAGTGCAATGGTCAATTGGGGCCAGTATTTGAAAAAAAGCCAGTTGTTTCCAACGCTGATCGGCCGATCAGCGTTGGAAATTGATACAAAAATACCACTTTTCTTGAAAATGACAGTATACCAGGTGCCATAATTTTACAGGATGCTTTAGACTGTCATTTACCAACATCCTGTTAAGGTATTTCGCAAAAACTTGGTAGTTTTATTTTTCGATGTTTACAAATGTTGTATATTCCCTTTAAGTCTTGCATGAAAGGATTGTGTGTAAACGCCCCGGCCACCGTCCAATGCGAAATCACGCGCTGAAAATTGACCAAAATAACCTCCTAAGTTTCTCATAAAAATAACGTGCTATATACTACGTGGCTTTAAAATTACTGCATATTATCTTGCCTTCAAATCTCAAACCTTTCATAAACAACTTTACGAATTGTTACAAACATTATTTTGGTTACGTATTTCATTTTTTCTCCTTTCAATTAATATTTGGTACTTATATATTTCATGGGGAACTTAGGGGGCTCGTTTTGGGTCAAATTTCCGGGGACATATGCAAAATAGACGCGCATGCGCATCGATCGAGACAAGGCCCGTTTCCTGATAATTTTCGTCAAAAGTGCATTTACTGACGACGGCATGGCATTTTGTCATTTTTTTATATTAAATATTTGTGGTCATTTTGGGGGTACCGACAGACCGACCGACCATCAAGTGACATGTAGAAGCTCCTGCCAGAGCTTAAAAAGAATGAAATCTATCGGGCATCATGGTACACCCTCCAAGTCATCACGACGATGAGCTGAGAATGAGATGGCTACATTGAGTAATTGGTTTCCAAAGTAAATCAACGATTCCCTTCACAAATGTTAATACCTATATACAGTATGCCCAGCAAGTAACAACAATCGAGGCCATTTTGAATAGGAACACCCATCCGGCTGTGCGGTGGGACACACATGAGGTCACTATTTCCAGTACCGCTCGGTCAAAGACATACTAACCCCATTAAGAATGGCGTTTCCTAGCAATTGGGGTCACCGCACATGCGCAAACATTGGTTACACCTTGACAG